TCGCGTGCGTTCTGCAGCAGTCACTTGGATAAGTCGTTGTTGCTTGTTGAACTTGTTGACTTTTGATGAGTTTGAGTGCGTGATGCGCGCTGTGAAAAAGTGTGTTGGAAACACAAATTGAGGACCAAATCGGCACCTTATTGATGACCTGTGGCGTTAATATACTGCATCTATGCCAGCGCGTGATGTAATAAAACTGCAGCTCGTTAATAAACGTTTTTTTTTTTTTTTTTTAACAACCGCCTTTCGGTAAATTCCCACTCACTCACTTATGAGACGCGCGATCTGCGCTGCCTCGTCTCTGTCTCGCGTGTGTTCTGCAGCAGTCACTCGGATACGTCGTTGTTGCTTGTTGAACTTGTTGACTTTTGATGAGTTTGAGCGCGTGATGCGCGCTGTGAAAAAGTGTGTTGGAAACCAAAGTGAGGACCAAATCTGTACCTTATTGATGACCCGTGGCGTTAATATGCTGTATCTGTGCTAGCGCGTGATGTACTAAAACTGCAGCTCGTTTTTTTTTTGTATCCATTTTATACAATCCGCCTTCATTTAGCAAGTGCACTCGCGCATAAACAATTTTCAAGTTCAACACTTTTTGTTCCGTTCAGTAGTGGATGCTGCTGATTCACGAGACCGTCGCGGCTCAGCAAAGAGACATGCGTGTGTGTGTATGTGTGTGTTTTCCTTTGAAAAAGTTCCCCAGAAATACCTTGCTATTTAATGCATTTTTCCTTACAAATTGTATTATCAGCATAACAATTCAAGTAAATGTGTAAAAGGTATGGCATGAATTTGCCATCCTTCTAGAACAATGTGCATTTATGTTAAAATTGTAACATCAATTATCAAGTTTAGTTATTTTTATTTCTTTATTGCAAAATGCTCAAACTGGCACCATTTTGGAGAGAAATGGGCTCTCATTTTAACCCATATCATGGTGTGTGATGCTGAACTATGAGTTTCTAATGGTGTTTGTATTTGCACTGTTCTAAACATTAATATTTTATGTGCAACAACAGCGTGCTGTCTCAGTGGCCTTACATGATTTTAAATCTATTTTTTCAAACTTTATGATTTAAATGGGGATGATTGTACTGAGAATAACTTGCATCTTTTCTTCGACTGAATACTGTTTCCGTGCTGTTTTGATGTATTTTAAAGAGTTGGCAGTCAACATTAAAACTGCTGGATGATAGATATTCTTCATTCTTTATGACAAATAAGATAATGTGAATTACAGAATGTACAACGTTTTTAAAATGTATCAATTGCGGTGTACAGCGTTTATTATGAGGGGGTAGAATCCCCATCTCAGTACTCACTACTCAATACTCATGAGTACTTTTAAATAAGCTACTCTTTTACTCTTACTCAAGTAGTTTTTTGGACAAGTATTTTTACTCTATTCACACTACATTTTTTGGAAGGTAATGGTACTTTTACTTGAGTATATTTTTTCAGTACTCTTTCCACCACTGTGGACAATACAGGATTTTCATTATTTTACTCATTACAAACAATTAGCTCAACTTTGTATTCAATGGAAACAATTCTAACCTAATTAGTGGAACATATATTTGTATACACAGGAATTGTAAGTGATCACAACAATTCTTTACCACCATCTTGGTATTCAAAATTAAAAACATTGGCCCATACTCTTTGTGGTGAAATGTTAATGAGTCCCACTGATATGCAGTGGACTTTGTATGTTTCCTGGCAAGAAACTTGGTAAAATTCTCCAACTTCAATTCTTAAAGTTGGAGAATTTTTGAAAAGTTTGTTTTTTGGACCATGAAATGGTAAGGTATTGCATGTTGATTGGTGTACAAAATTTTAAAAAGCTGATGGTGCTCTTTGATTAGATGTTTAAGAGATACAGTCATGCCATCAGAAACCCCTGGAGAAAAGACAAAGTTGATTATTCGCAACAAATTCCAGTTTCTATTGTCTTGTGGCACCACATCACCAAAAAATAATGGGGTATTCTTAACAAGACTATAATTCGGACCCAAACTGTTGTTACTGAGTTACAAAAGATTATTTGCATTTAAAACATATATGGCTAATTCAGTAATTTTGCTCTCAGCTCCTTAACTCTTGGTGACTCCTTGGTTTTCCCTACATCAACCATGTAGATTGTTGTCTGAATGAAAGTGTAAAAATGAAGGAGTGCCTCATCATACGCTAAATTAAAAACAAAATGTGCTTTAAATAGTTCATCGAATGCACCGAGGGATGTATCCGACTGACAGGGGATGAGATTCTTATTCAGAGCTATGTAAAAGTGTTCAATCTGGTTGCGGTTCCTGCCAACAGTAAGGAGGTATGGCTGTCTTCCTTCTCGTTGCTGAAGATGTTGTTCAAGGCTGGTACGAGACTACAAAGAGACAGATGAAAAACATTCTACAAGATGCAGTCACATAATAATGAAAAAGAAAAACTTAGGAACAGTAAATTCAGGAAGATTTAAAGCAGTCACATTCCTAGTCTCATTACCTTCTGATACACCACAAGCCTGTTTATGGCATCTGATGCACTGATTTTTGAGACCTTCTTTCCAGGTGATGGTGGAAGTAGATGGAGCAGCAAAAGCAATGTTGCCATGTCACTGTCCCAGTCTAAAATTCAGATATAATTGAGGACTTTATCCAGGTAATGTTTTTGTGAAGGCATCACTTATGCTTTGAGGCTACCAATTTAAAGGATTACACAAATAAATGAACTTGAGAAAATAACATCTTACCAGAACAATGTTCACTATCTCTCTGGTTATTTGCTGACAGAAGAAGTGAGCACACAACAGCAGTTGAAGTCAAGCCTATGGCTTCTTCGATTATTTTTGCCTTAAAAGTGGTATCCCACATTTCAAGCAACTTGGACGATGTTTCAGGACTGAAGAGTAGTGAGAAGTCTTGATTCACCTTTAATTAAAAAAAGCATAAATAAGAATTCTGAATATTGCCCATTACTCTTTGAATAGTCTGTTTGAATCTCCAAACTTACAAGTCCCTTAGTGTTTAGAAATGTAGGAAAGGTCTTCAGAATGTCTGTCGTCTTGTTTGGGTCATGAACAAGCCTATGCCTATAGTGAAAAGTCTCCCTCATTTTGAGTAAGATCTGTGCTTCATCTGTGGAATGAGTAAGAAAGGCAATTGCCTCTCTTAAAGTATCCTCATCCTGCTGCTCAAAGCTGGAACATCTGTTCCAAGAAGGTCCACTCAAGCCAGTCTCACTTCTTTTGAAGATGCTAGGCTTATTTCGCTTCTTGGCGTTCCTCTGAACAGTCTTCAGTCGCCATGCAATGTATCCAGTCCCACTGTCTGTGTCATAAAAATGTTCCTATGGCATTTAAAAGAACATTATAAGGTTCATTATTCAAAGGGACAATCTAGACAGCTACAATATACAATACACAAGTTAAGGATACTCACATAGCCTTTTTTTGAAAACGGATCCTTTAGTGATGGGAAAAGAGTCACAACACCTAGAGCATACGTCTCTTTCTGGTTCCTTGTGGGAATTCTCCTTAAAAAGTACAGACATAGACTATACATAAGCAAAAACACAACAATCACGTGTACAAACATGACAGCAGGTATACAAACAGCACCAGGAATATTAGGCTGCTAAACCACAATGTCTGCCTAATAACATTGCAGTCATGAGGGGTTCGCTCTCCCTGTAGAAATATTGGATACAGGATACCGAATCTATTACTCAAAATGTTCCTGAGGTCAGCTTCAACAGGCTGATTCCTCCAGTAGATTTCCTTGAAGCCTGGCACGCACTACACAATGTGTCTCAGTGGATTGTGAAAACAATTCGGAGAGTCAAATCAAGCCCAAGGACTGGTTTCTCACGATAGATCAAAAGGATGGTTATTTCCGTATCTCCATTTTTCTGCAGCACAGGAAGTTCCTGATGTCCGCTCTCGGGGGCAAAGCATACCAATACCAGTTCGGCCTAGCGTTAACCCTTTGCACTTTCATGAAATGCATGGATGCCACTCTAGCTCCTCTAAGACTCCAGGGCATCCGAGTTCTCAATTTTTATATGATTGGTTAATATTAGCCCAGTCGCAAGGAAGCACAGCATGGAAGCACGGCATTGACCATATAAAGTGCTTGGGGTCAAGACTCAATGGCAATAAAATTTGCTCACTCCAGTTTAGAGAACAACTTTTCTGGGAGTTGGTTATGATGCGGGCACAGTTGTCTCTCGCACATATCGAATCGATTTTGGCAGCAGTAATCAGAATCAAGCTAGGCCAGTTCATCACTGTGAAACAGTTTCAGAGACTGTTAGGGCTCATGGCGGCAGTGTTCAATGTGATACATTTTGGGCTGCTGTACATGAAACCTCTGCAGTGCTGGCTCAGCACCAGGGGGTTTTCCCCAAGGGGTAACCCATCTCGCACAATCAAGTTCATGCACATTCCTTGGTCGTGTGGAAGAAGCCTTGGAAGGGGATAAGTTGACTCGGTGACTTTAAACCCCATTCTGGCGGGCCTGAGTGTGGTTTTCGGACCTTATAGCACTACTAGATCGCCTCCCATGGAAGATCCCAATCAGGAGTAACATTCACACACATGCTGGGAGCACGATATTTCACCCCCGGCCAGAGAGGTGGAAGCTGTGGGTCTGGTCCCTGAGGGGGATCAGTTCCTAAGTGAGGGTCTCTCAGCTAAGGTTGTAGAGACCATTCTCAATTCTAGAGCTCCTTCCACAAGGAAATGTTATGCTCTAAACTGGAGAGTATTCACTTTATGGTGCAGAGAGCATAAGTTAGGACACAGGTAACTGCCCAGTGGATTTAGTGCTGGAGTTCCTTCAAAACAGTTTTCCTGCCAGTTTTCCTCATCCACACTTAAGGTGTACATGGCGGCCTGCCTTCCACACACCATTAAGTGGTGGTTCTTTGGGAAAGCACCACCTTGTGATTTGTTTCCTTCATCATACTCAGAGGATGAGGCCTATGGCTCAGGCTAGAGTTCCAGTTTGGGACCTAGCTATTGTCTTGGAAGGGATGTCCCTGGCACCCTTCAAGCCAGTGGATGCTGCATCTGCTAAGTGCATCACTTTTAAGATTACACTCTTGTTGACAATCACTTTTATAAAGAGACTAGGAGATTTGCAGGCCTTGTCAGTTGCCTGCTCCTGCTTGGAGTTGAAGGGTGAAAGCTATTCTTCACCCGAGACTGGGTTATGTATCTAAAGTACCCACTAATGTGACCTGGTCCAGGGTCCTTCAGGCCTTTCATCCTCCTCCTCATGGGTTGGTGGAACAAGAGATGCTACACATTATATATTTTGTGAGGGTCCTTGAAGTTAATGTTCAGATGACCTCTACTAGAAAGACTGAACACTTGCAGATATGTTTTGGGTCCCCTAAGAAGGGCTGGCCAGCTAATCTATTAGTGGATTGTAGAGGCAATTTCTATGGCTTATGAGGAACACGACCTGCCTTTGCCTCTTCAAGACAGAGCGCATTCCACACAGGGTATGAAATCATCTAAGGCTTTATTTTCAGGGGCATCCCTCTAAGACATTTATGATGCGGCAGGTGGGTCCTCCCCGCATACTTCTATAAGATTTTTTTAGCCTGGACATCCTAGTTACGAGGTCTCAGGTGCTCATGTCCCGAGTTGTGCCCAAGCAGCTTCACATTAGAACACATAGAACATTAGATATTTTGTCATTATGGTGTAGTGGGTATTTAGTTCCACAAAGTGTTGTCATACAACTCAACACGAGTTGTCTTTGGGTACGACTATAACTCCTCTTCCCTTTGCCATATTTTCTGTGTGCCTGGGAGTGGCTTGCTTCATCCTATCAGAAGCTAACTCTATTGTGATGCCAGCTTCACTTTGTAGCTTTTGTATTACGCTGTCATGCCTATGAGTATTTAAGAGCAAATAAAAAGCAGTTTTACCCATGCATTTCCACCATATGTCCAACCAAAATGTTGACTAGGACTCGTCTCATTTCACTTGAAAGTGTATTTTTGGAACTGTATTCAGCAAGGACAGCATCTCCTCCACTTGTCTGCTTTAGGGCACTACGAACCATCTTCAAAAAAAAAACATGATACATCAAAATTTTACTAACTTAATGTATTTAAAAAATAAAACATGTACTAAATTTAAATGAACAAGTAACCTCTTTTGCCTCAGCTGCTGCATCATGTGTCTTAGATTTCTTGTAAGGTCGTTCTGGCATTTGGTCAAGTTCATATGATGAATGACTAAGTGACAAAATGTCAGTCCAAGAGCTGCTTGTTGCATCTGATAACATTTCTGAAACACAAGAACCTATTACAACATAAATAACAATTTATTTGTTACACAACAGGAATCCAATGCCATACTGTACCTTCATTCTCTCTTCTAACAATAATGAGCGACGTATCAGGTCTCGCATTGAGCACATCTTGTAAAATGTCCTTGTCTATCTCAGTTTCAGTGTCATCATAAATGTGTAGATTTGTCTCAGGTGGTAGGCCAAACCTACTGTGGACTAAACATAGACAGCATTTTATGTATGAAATAGAAACAACAAACAAACAAATGAAGTAAAAAAAAAAACACCTTCATTAACAAAGTCTGCAAAAGTAAATCCATCCTGAAGTCTGATAAATTTCCTGGAGTCCTGATATCTAACTTTGATCAGCAGCATGTTTCAAATCTGAGAATGCAAAAAAAGATGTCATTAAAGACTATAAACATATACATTGCATAAACCTGTCATTTAGATAGGTTTGCTAAAAAATTAGATCTCTATGTGAATTTATTTTCTTGACCTGGTAAGGACTCTAGCCGCTGCATTTTGGACTACCTAAAAGCCTTTATAGTTACATTACTTATGCATGATTTTTGGAAGATATTCCAACAATTGTGAAATTAAATTGAATGATTAAAGGTGCAGTATGTAAGAGGGCTTTTACACTAGCATTTTTGGTGCGCACCCGGGTTTGATTGACGTCAGAGTTCAGTATATCTGGATGATGTGAACGCTGTCTTCTGAAGTTGGGTGCACACCCGCAAACCGTATCCGAGTCCGCTTAAAAAGGGTGGTCTGGGGTACAGTTCAAGTGAACTCTGGTACGGTTTGCTGCTGAAATAAACGCAAACATACCAAATCGCTGAAGTGAGTAATTATTAATGGCGTGTTATTTGATAAAAATGTGTGCTTGCGTGTGCGTTTCACTCTCTCATTTACTGATGAGTGTGGCTGACTCGCTTGAAGCAGAGAGCTGTATATCTAATTCCTTCTCACCTTCAGCGTTCTTTAGAGCATTTGCAGTATATTCACGGCAGATAGACGCAAGTGCCTTATGTTACAAAGCTTTGGAAACAAAACCAATGGTTGAAAATCAAAAATATAAAAGTGTGGAGAGCAGTGCTATGCATTTTGCCGCCTTCTCCTCCGCCGTCGTTACTAAGCAACGGTGTAAACAGCTGCTGGTTTGATGACACAAACGAACCGCCGTTTGGACCCAAAAAATATAACATGAGCAATTTTAATATTAAAAGATATTACAAATTTATACAGAGTAATTTTTTCTCATTATATATTTATTCCCATGTGTAAACTATAGTAAATTGTAGTATACTGTATATATTATAGTATTTACAACACTTTGTTAATGAATGCTACTGCATACTGTAGGTATTAACTATAGTGAACTGATAAAGTGTAATAAATACTGTAGTATACTTCAATTTTTACTACAGAAAACTGTAGTGTATTGTAGTTTAATATACCCTATAGTCGTATAAGACGTACAGTATTGGGTCAAGTAAATTGTTTATATTACTATATTTGTTATATTACCACAACAAATTCAAGTACTTATGGTTCAAAAACACTATAGTATTTACTATAGATTACTTTAGTATTTTTCAGAACTGAATTACCTCTATTGCTCCAGATAAAACTGATTTTCCAAAATTATTGAGGCATGATGCAAAATAGTTTAACTTAAGTGTCAATTGACATTAACTTAATTTGGCAAATGGATTAAGATACGTGATTGGTATAAGGATGTAAACTACAAGTAGACTGATCCAAGGAAATGTTTCAGTGGGAATCTCTTGTGAAAGAACATTCCCTTCCTCTATAATAGCTGTTACTGTATGTTAGCATTAGCATTTGCCTGTTGTTGTGTGAGGAGGTTAGTGTGTTTCTCTTACCAGTCTGGCAGCTCCTCTCTCTCCAACTTCACTCCTCTGTAGTAGCTGTTACTCTTTGTCTTTTAGCATGTTTGTTAGCATTAGCATTAACATGTCTGTTGTCGTGTGAGGAGGTTAGTGTTTCTCTTACCAGTCTGGCAGCTCCTAATCTCTCTCTCCAGCTTCACTCCTCTCCTCTATAGTAACTGTTACTCTTTGTCTGTTAGCATTAGCATTAACATGTCTGTTGTTGTGTGAGAAGGTTGTGTTTCCCACAAGCTGTTCGTCTCCTCATCTCTCTCCAGTTGCACCCCTCTCTTCTGTAGTAGCTGTTTTTCTTTGTCTATTAGCGTGCTTGTTATAATTAGCATTAGCGTGTTTCTCACCAGTCTGGCGGCTCCTCATCTCTCTCTCCAGCTGCACTCCTCTCCTTTATTGTAGCTATTGCTGTATGTTTGTCTGATAACATTAGCATGTCCCTTACAAAAAATAAGAATGTGTTTTAGCGCCACCCGCTGGACTGGAGTGTGAAGCGGCGAGAGGAGGGAAATAATACGGGGAAATAGAGTGGGGGGAACTACAAAAAATAACTGCACTACATTGAAGTACCACTGCAGTACAAAGTAGTAAAACTGCAGGACAATGAAGTGCAACTGTAGATTTGCAGTATAATGAAGTATATAACTGCAGTTCATTAAAGTTCAACAGCAGTAAAACTGTAGTACAGTGAAGTACAACTGTAGATTTGCAGTATAATGAAGTACAGATTGCATGTGAAGATTTCAGATGCAAAAACGTCTAAGTCTGTCTCATTTATTTACAGTAGGCGGTTGTTGTTGTTTTTTTTTATGTAGACTCCCTATAAAAATATTTGTACAAAAATATTTTTGTACAAAAAATATTTGCCTATGGAATATTTCACCCACATAGATTAATAGCCTGCACGTGACAAGATCTTCCTTCGTGCTAACAGTCATTGTCCTGACAACGAGTCTCGCGAGTAGCTGAGATTACTGATAACGGTAAATCAGCGTCTTTTCCATAGTGTCTGCTACAGGATGGATATAAAAGTATAAAATAGGTTTTGGTTTGACAACTTCGTTCATATGTGAACTATCACAAGAAAAGCATAAAGACATAACAACATTACACCCCGAGGCCACTCACAAGTGGGACAAAAGAGAAGAACTGCTTTCTGGAAGAGAAGTTCATCAGGCGAGTTGGAGCGTTGACTTTGTCGAGTCATCCAGTTTAGCGGTGAGTATAACATGTAATGTCCTCATATCTTTAGTTATAATTTTAGAGAGATGTAAAAAGACTTCACGGATATCTTATTCAACCCGCTGAGCAAATTAGAGGAAATGCAGCTTCCATACTGATATGTAACGCACGCGGGTCAGTGCGCGAGGTGCTTATGAGGGAAAATAAAACACACAGAACTTAAAGTCCGCGTGAACCAGAAGTTGCTGCCGGCTTTATTTCAGTGTAGTGACGTATTTCCAGCTGAAACGGAATATTGAATTGAGGGCGTGGTTTTATTTTTGTGCTCCTCCTCTCTGTCTCTCACTCATAGCAAGTAATAACGGTTGGAGGGTGTGTTTAAGGATATTCTGCCCAAGCCGTCAAACTGACGTCATCAGAGAAGTAATGCCATTCCAGAGCGGAAGCAAATGTCCAGATTTTGATGAAAGTTATTTAAGAATATTAAGTTTAAGAAATTTTGATTTTTCAGCGGATTAACTTGCACGGATTAATTGGTCACATCAATACTAGCAATGTGCGCTAATAAAGTAAATAAAGTCCATTTTGATTTCATGCGGACTTTAAGTCTGATAGAAAGACAAAACAACTGGTTTAATGCTGTTTTTACTACACTTTTACTATACTAAAACAAATTATATTTATATTATAAAATATTAAAATCTAATCTAATAAAACATCAACATCCCAATCCAACGATTGACGTAACCCTGTGTATAGATGCATTTAATTATGCTATTGCTCAGCAATTTAGTAATAAGCAGATCTGTAGAAATTATTCAGTCTAATTGCATCAGAACATTATTTATAATAATGGAATAAACAAAATGCACTGACTATACTGTGTATTTGTTTTGTTTTTTTCTAGGAGAGCTTCAACCCCTAACTGACATGAGGAAAAAGATAATTGAAAAGTGTTCCATTGATAGTGTACCCATCTTTGCAACAGAGGAAGCATTAGGAGAGAGGAGAAGAGAGAAAGTGAAAAGGCACTCAACAGATGTTGGTGAGACTTTATTTCTGTAAATGCATTAAAGGTCACTCACATTCTAGTCGGCCACAAATGTAAACCTGATTTTAGATAGTATTTAAATGAGATTAATAACTCCAGCTATTTGTAGGCCTACATTCCTGTATATTTCACACTAAATTGTGATGCAGCATGAATCATAATCACACCATGTTAATTTGTTGGCCATTGGAGAACTGATCTCTAAACTTCTCCCAAGGTTTTTTTTTTCTCCATTCTGTCACCTGATGGAGTTTGTGTTCCTTGCCACTGTCAACTTTTGCCTTGCTTATTTGGGGACACATAATATTCAGCAATATTATTGATCTGACTCCACTGACACTATTGGATGAGGACTGAACTGAGCTAGATGATGGCACCAATGTTTTCTGCAGAACTGCTATGTAGATGCATTGGAATTATTTTATTTTTGATCATTTTTATACAGTTATTGAAATTAACTAATTCAACACTGATTTCAACTGAACAATGACAATTTTTTACTTTTTAGAGCTGCTTCACAGCAGAATTTAATTCTGTTTGCAGATTTGAAACAATCTGTATTGTATAAAGCACTATATAAATAATGGTGACTTGACTTAAATTGGTTCAGATCTTCAAAAAAGTGCATGAAACAAAGGCAACCTGAATAAACACAAAATACAGTTTATTAATGATAACTGTATATGCTTTTGTTTTGTTAATTTTCTTTGGAATATCTGACAGTATTTAGTATTTGATATACACAAAAATAGAAAAAAATAAAAAAAATTTGGCAGCACTGTACACAAGCATTTATGTTCAATAGTATGACATTAACGTGCAGAAATTGACATTTCTTTAGTGTGTGATTGCTATTTTCAGGAAAATGCACTGATAACAACCAAAAAAAGAAGACCAAAAATATCATTCAACAGAAGTTAATGGCTGTGGTGAAGGAAGCACTCAAATAATGGTGAGCAGTAATCTACTTTATTTATTTTATCTTTTATAAACTATTATCTTTATAGTTTAGAATGCATAATAACCGATATTGTACTTCAGGAACTAAGACCTGTGGGAGTGCTGGAGAAATCAAGTGTACCAAGTCCTCTGTCTCCTCAGCCATGTAAGAGATCTTCAGACATGAAGAGATTGAGGAGTTAATCAAAGAGCTAAAAGAAGATTTACAATATTAGTGCCAATTCAGTATGAAAACGGAGAGAGAGCTGAGGGAGTGGAAAGGTAATGAAATCTAGTTATATCAACAATTATTCTCAATGCTTAATGTCAGCTCTCAACAGTTTTTTTTTTTTTTTTTGTGGACTCTTTGATTATCTCTGATTGACTGGAAGGTGTGCATTAAAACAATGAATGCATAGATAATTACAATCAGTTTAATCACCATTCTAAATTAATGTGCGGCTTTTACTGTAGCACACACATCCAGTCAAAACGATAGATCTAATGACCTGGAACCAAAAAAACTAATGAAAATTAACTTAGTTTTACCCTTCCAGTCAAACTGTACTCCACAAACATTAAAGGGATAGTTCACCCAAAAAGTTTAATTCTGTTATTTATTACGCACCCTCATGTCGTTCCAAATCTGTAAGACCTTTGTTCATCTTCAAAACACAAATTAAGATATTTTTGATGAAATCCGATAGCTTTCTGACCCCTCTATAGGCAGCAACGCAACTTACACATTCAAGTTCCAGAACAGTAGGAAAGACATTGTGAAAGTAATCCATGTGACTCCAGTGGTTTAACCTCAATTTTGTCTTCTGTCGCATGAACACAACACTCATGCATTGTGATGCTCTCGTGAATGCACGTTATAGATCAATATTTTTGTAAATAAGTGGTCGAATATATAAAAAATTTTTTTTTTTTTTTTTTTTTTTGACGCAAACACACGTCACTTCATAAAATTGAGTTAAAACAACTGGAGTCACATGAATTACTTTAATGATGTCTTTCCTACCATTCTGGACCTTGAATGTGTAAGTTGCGTTGCTGTCTGCAGGGTCAGAAAACTCTGATTTCTTTAAAAATATCTTTCTTTGTGTTCCAAAGAGGAATGAAGGCCTTACGGATGTGAAACGACACAATGGTGACTAATTAATGACAACATTTTTGGGTTAGCTATTCCTTTAAGGGCAGCTTCAACTTAACTTTTTAACCTAGCTTTAACAGGTGTGTATTACACAATTTTAGTGGACTTCACGGAGGCAAACCGTTCCATGTCGGGTGGTTCTTTGCCTCCACCTCATGCCTTAAAATCATGTAATGCACACCTACTATTAAATTAAAGTATTAAATGAAGGGGGCACAATAACTGTGGAACATATATATTCTATATACTGTATTCCAATTAATATATTTACATATATTTGTATATCATGTATATATCATGTATATATTATACATTATAATATATGTAATTGCCACTCTAACTCTACAGCATGATTTCACCATCCAGCTAGGTTCTTCTACAATTACCCCATCAACTTCGGTCAGAAATCTTGGTGCAGAGCACTAATTCCGAGTATGGGTCACCATACTTGGCCACGTCACATCACTTTCACTTTTCACTTATACTGTATGTATATATGTGTATACATATATATATATATATATGTGTGTGTGTGTTTTAAGGTTAGAATTTTGAACAAAAATACAAAATGATAAAGAGGGAAAATAATTGTGGAGGACTCTGTACAGTATTTAAACATGATTGTGTTTATGCTTTTTTCCAGAAATGTATGTTATTGTGCAAGGGGTAGTTGCATGGACTCAGTGGAGGGACCAGAACATTCTCGTTCACTGTTCCTGGCTGCTGGAATGATCTTCCAACCACTATTCGGAATGCTGAATCCCTGACAATTTTCAAGCGACAGCTGAAAACTAATCTCTTTCAACGCTACTTGACTTCATCTTAAATTAAAAAAAATAAATAAAAAAAATGTCTTTCTCTTTATTTATTCCTTCCCTTCATGTTATTGTGCAAGGGGTAGTTGCATGGACTATCAGTGGAGCGACAGAAAGCTCTGAGATTTCATTATAAAGATCTTCATTTGTGTTCTGAAGTTGAACGAAAGATGTGCGAAAGGTGAACGAAACACTTGGAACGACATGACGGTGAGTAATTGATGACAGGATTTTAATTTTAGGGTGAACCGATCTTTTTACTTCTTTTACCTGGAATCGCTTTATGTATTCCCCAATTGTAAGTAGCTTTGGATAAAAGCGTCTGCAAAATGACTAAATGTAAATATATGTAAATCGCATGCGATTGTTATGCGCATCTGGTCAGTAAAGCCGGTTCTGTGATTAGTAGCAAATCTCCATCACGTGCTTTCAGATAGAGCGGCATTTAATACACAGAGCCGTAGATCACTGACAAGCTATGCGATCGCGGCAAGCCTACTATGTACTACGACATGTAAATCAGGAACATGAAAGGAATATTCTAAAAGCAACTCATGTAAACACCTTAATCATAATATTGTCTTATTTAGAATAAGGTAAATAATTAAATTACTGATGTCCATGTAAACGTAGTCATTATTAATGCTGACCAATATGCCATAAGAAATTAACTGGGAGTAGTATGAATACTTTTCACAAACACTTGGTGACATCACATTTAAAGATTTATTTTAAGCATACTAATATATGCCTGTGGTGAAAAGTGTAACTGAAAGAATTTCTGATTGTTTTTGTTTGTTTGTTTTTCCAGACTACATCCAAAATAGTGTTTCCACATCTGAGATAAAGGCAGTCATAAGAACCAAGCGGAACGATGAGGATAAGCTCTTCAAAAAATGAAACCTGCCTGAATAATGAGGGAAGAAATGTGCATGATTTGTAAATAAACACTGAGTACATTTAGTGTAACTCTCAGCCTGTTATTTTAAGTTTAAAGAAAAGTAAAATAATGTACTGTTGCATTGCTGTTTGAGACATTCACTGTTGTTTTGTACCTTAATTCATTATATTGCAGATGTGTGCAAATAAAACTTGTTATTCTGAATATTCTGGTTGCATTTCAGTGTTACTGTACAGCATTTTATTAGTATTGCACTTCGGTTGTATTGAATTGTACTTCAGTTGTATTATATATTGCAGTACTACTGCAGTTTTATTGCAGTATAATTGTAGTACTACTTCAGTTGTATTGCAGTAAAACTGCGGTTCTATTGCAGTTGTTTGTTAGTAATACTACAGCTCTACTGCAGTTCGATTTCAATAGTACTTCAGATGTATTGCAGTAAAACGGCAATAATGCAGTTTTTTCGTGTCCAAAAAAAAAAAATGTTTCTACAAGTAACAAAAACTGCAGCATTACTTTTTTAAAAACTGCAGTAATTTTTTGTAAGGGTTGTTTTTATTTTATTTTTAATTTGTTTTTATTAGTTATTTATAAAAAAAAATTTTTTATAAAATTGATTTAGTTCGCATTTAATACACAGAGCCGTAGATCACTGACAAGCTATGCAATATCGCGTTCATAATCGAAGGCAATTCATCTGCGATTATGAACATGATATTGCATAGCTTGTCAGCTACTGTTTACAATGCATGGAATGGTGCGCTGTGATTGGTTGAGCGGATGTATCACATTCTGCGTAAAATTAAAAATTGACTTTTCAATACCGACCAGATACAACACTGATTTTGGCGGGAACTCAATTTTTTTTTTAAATTGCGTTTATCGTGTTTTACAACCAAACTCTTCATATATATATATATATATATATATATATATATATTT